TTGTTATTTGATTTTATTTATTTAGATAAATAAAATAAAAATTAAGAAGTAAAGTGGTTTGTTCCTATTGGTCCGTAAATTGTTTTTAATGGTGTTAATGGTTTGAGGCAAACTGAGTAACTATTGAAACATAAGAGGGTATAACGTTCCAAAAAATATTTTATGGGGAAATTCGTTACAAATGGTATAGTTAAGGGGAAATGGTACATTAAGCCTAAAAATAATGTGAATTTCAAGAAGTCCAGAAAAATAAATCATAAACAAATCATGTTGGTTCCTCCTTGATGATAATGGGAATAAATTGAAGGACTTTGACAATATATTTGTTGAAATGATGAGGTTCTTTACTGACATCATTGGGTCATCTGAATTTGAAATTAAAAATTGTTTGGTTTAACAACTCAAGGACCTTATATTAGTTATAGTTTGCCTCTTGGTGCTGAGGATGAGCTTGTGAAGGATGTTACTAATGGTGAGATCAAAGAAGTCCTCTTTAGGCAAAGGAATGAGAAGAGTCATGGTCCTTATGGGTTTACAGCATGGTTTTTCATGGAGTCTTGGGATATTGTTAATGAGGACTTCTTGGTTGTTATGAAGTATTGTTTATAATGTTGACTTATTACCTTCCTTGAACGCCATTGTGATTATTTTTGTTCCTAAGATTCCTAACGCTAGTTTGGCAAAAGACTTTTGTCCCATCTCGTGTTGTTTTGTGACCTATAAGACCATCACAAAGATCTTAGTTAGCAAGATGGCTTATTTCTCGGGAATGATATCCCCTAGTTAATCAACATTCATCAAAGGTAGAAACATTGTTGATAACACTTTATTAGCACAAGAGTTAGTTAAAGGCTATTGTAGGAAATCCCTCTCCCCTCGGTGTGCTATTAAGATAGATTTTTAGATGACCTTTGACTCAGTTAATTAAGAGTTCTTGATGAATGTTCTTATTTTCGTGGGGTTACTTGATATGTTTAGAATGTGGATAAGGGCTTGTGTCACTACTTCTAAGTTCTTAGAGAGAGGATCTTCAAATTTCTTCCCAAATACAAAATGATTTTTCTCGTTCACATATATTTTGTTGATGATTTGCTCATTTTTTTGTCATGGCTCAATGGACTCTACTTTAGGGGTGAAAAGTGTTCTTGAGCAATTTTATGTGATGTCTGGATTGAAACTTAATGTTGCTAAGACTGAAGTTTTTGTTTATGGTGTGGATTATGACAGTTTGAGGAGAATCCAAAGTGCTAATAGGTTTAAGTTGGGCAGGTTTCCTATTAGGCAGAAAGATAGTATCCTCTGTTAGAGAAGATTCAGGGAAAGGTTTAAGTGTGGTCCTATAGGAATCTTAGTTATGGTGGGAGGTTAGAACTTATTAAGGTTGTGTTGTTCAGTATCTCTAATTTTTGTTGTAGAAAACGGATCCTTCCTAGAGCTTTGATTCGGGGAATCGAAAGATTATGTATGTATTTCTTTTGGAAAGAGAATGATACCCCTATTAAGAGAATGGGAGTTAGTTGGCATCAGATTTGTAGCTTGAAATTAAAGTAAGGTATGAGGATTGAGGATCTACTCTGTTGGAACATATCATGTAGTTTGTTGCTTGTTAAGAGCATTCTTGTAGGGGAGGGCTCATTGTGAGTGACCTGGATTAAGGAGTATGCACTGAAGGACGAGATATTTAGTTTGGTGATTGTAGACCTCACTTTAGTTGGATCTTAAAAAAACTATTAAATTTGCGAGGGGAGGTTGATACTCTCTTTGCTGAGGGGATTAATTCGAGGATGGTTAATAGTAACTGGATATGAGAGAAAATTAAAGAATATAGGAGAGAGATTATTAACAAAAGGTTATTTGATTTCCGTTGCATGTTCTTAAGCTATCCATTGTATCTTGGATGGTTATTCTTGATAGGCTTCCTACTAGGGATAAACTTGCTCGTATGGGTATTGCCACAGATGGTATGTGATGTTTATGTGGTATTGAGGTTGATGTTAGGAACCATATATTTTTGTGAGTGTTTTTATGCCCCAATATCTGAGGGAAGGTCATGCAAACTTGTCGTTTATCTTGCAGTTTGCAATGTTGGGAGGATATGCTCGATTGGGTGGTTGATAATTTGAAGGGTAAGTCCTTGATTGTTTGTATTCTTAAGATTGTTTGTACTAGTTTTCTGTGTTGTATTTGGGAGGAACATAACTATAGACAATCCATGAGGTTGTTAGGCATTCTCCAGAGATTATTTGTGAGTTTATTAGGGAAATTGTATGCTCAAAATTACATGGTTGTTTCGTAGATAAACAGTATAGAGTAAGTCTGCAACTTTGTATTGACTGAGAAATGTTGGATTAAAATCCATAATTATGAGCACATATTTATAATGTATATTGTTATCATAAAATATGACATAAATTAAGTGACTAATTATGTTATAAAATTATAATGTATTAGAAGTGTCATAGAAATAATAAAGTTGTATTTATAATTTAATGAGGGACAGAGTTATAAGTATAGGCAATAATTGATTCTTAAATCAATTATACAAAGGGGTTATGGTTCCCAAAAAATGGATAATTTCGTATTTTATCTTATCCTCATCAAAGAGTTTATACTCAAGAGAATTCTATATTCTTGGAATATTACAACCAAAGAAAGAAATATTTAAGGATTTCAACCCATCACTTAATTCAAGTACGCTTCCATATTTAGTATTTCTTATTCTTAATGATTTACATTATTAGATCTTGATTAATTTTCATATTGACATGTATGTGACAGTTGGTTGTGTTTGTTGCAGTTGGTTGGTACCTCTTTTTTAGATATTTGAATGAAAACTTTTTACTTATTCAAAAAAAAAAATTGATATGTATGTGTCAGTTGAAAATAAGGTGTACTAATTTCATCAGCAATCAAATCATCAAAACGAGAACAAACCACAAATTATGTCTCTGACACGTATGCACATATGTAATATTTTTGGATGAAATTTAAATAGTTTTTTTTAAAGTTTAAGCTAGAATGAAAAATAATCTCTGAAATTTATAAATTACTTTTGTGTGCGTGAACAATTTTAATAACGATTATTAAAATTGTGATTGTATTTTGACTATTAATAAAAAGATAAGAAGAAAATAAAGGAGATGGTCGGTAATATGTCGTCGGCAAAGAGAGGTTTGGTTGTGCATGCATGCATGTAGAGAATATTTGTCACATTCCATGGCTTTATTAAACTCAACGATCCCATGGGGTGGCCGATGAAGGGTCGTTGTTTACCCATTGCTACTGATTATGAAGATCATCGTAAGAATTTTTCGGTCACCAAACAAAGGCGGTTTCTTAGGTAATTACGTAACATTAACAATAATTTTGAAAAAAAAATAATTTAGATGACCAAAATAGAACCAATGTGATAATTGGGTTACTAATTACATAGTTTATCAATTTTCACAATCTTCATGGCCGAAAATATTCTTTCCATACTTGACATAGCAATTCGAATTCTTGAGCGATCTAAATCAAACTCGAGTATTATATCCCTGCATCTATCACCTAATCCAATCAAATTTAGAAAGATTACCCTAAACTCAACTCAATTTCTAAGATAAGAGTTTACACCCAACCCAATCACACAACTATATATAACCCTAAATATATAAGATATAGTTATGCTACAATACTCAATACTCGGGTTAGTTATGTCAAAATTTTCCAGCTTAAATATAAAATAAGCGCTCAAACTATAGTGTTTTTCACGAATAAGTGTCTAAACTATTTTTTGAATGATCTCTCTGCCTAACGTTACAAACGTTACCATTTTAGGTGTCCGAGACGTCAACGGTGTTAATTTCCTCCATTGAGTGACACGTGTCACAATTTGGTAATTTATTTTTTTAAAAAAATAAAAATATTATTATATTTATAAACAAACCTTAATTTCTCCTAAATTACAAAAAAAAAACCCAAAATCCCTAAAATCCTTAAATCCTAACCTTAAACCATCATCGTCGCCCTATCCGACCACGACCATCGTTGCCAACGTGGTTCATCCCATCCTCCTAATCATACGCCACCGATTGGCCATCGGAATCACATGATATCACGATTTTCATCCTAGGTTTCTTGGGGGTATAAAACGTCGATTCGCCGTCGATCGGTCAAGATTTCATAGGGGTTTTAGTCGTCGAGAGGAGGTGAGATAGGGTGGAACTTCGTCGATGGAAAATGATGGTGGCCGGTGTGGGTTTAAGGGTTGAAATGAAGATTTTCAAAGTTTTGGGGTTATCTTAAATTTCTTTTTTAATATATATATATATAATTTTAACTTTTTAATTTTAAATAAAAATTTTAAAATTACCATATTATGACACATGTCATTTAACGGAGGAAATTAACACCGTTGACGACCTAGGCACCTAAAGTGATAGCATTTGTAATGTTAGGCACCAAAGTCATTAAATTAGTTTAGGCACTTACTCGTGAAAAATACTATAATTTAAACATATTTAAGCCAAAATTTTCACTTTAAACTCGATCAATTCAAATTTTCAAATAAAAAATTAAACCCGGATCAAAACCCATTTGATTAGAATACCATGCCCATCTCTAAACTATCAATAAAATTTATAAAAGAAAAATTTTGAAGAAAAACATTTAAAAGATTTATAAAAAAAATATTAAAATAATCATAAAAATATTAAATGTTATTAAAACAAAACTGTGACTAAATTAAAATCATTCACTAAAATTATTATATTATAATCCAAACTATAACATTTGACTTCATTAAAAATATCTATATCGAACTGATAGGGACTTCTTAAAGGTGACTGTGGACTGCACTGAATGGTTAGTTGTTTAATGTATACACAGTTATCGGGGGAGAAGTGTTAAGGCATTGTTTGGACTTTTGACATAAATTTAGTGCATTTTATCAAGATAGGTCTTTACAATATCAGAAAGGCATTCTTGCTTTTTTCATATCAGTACCCTTCGAGCTGTAATATGCAAAACTTGTGAATCTTTACACTGGAAACAGAAGCATAATGTTACAACATAAATTCATTTCCTTCACTCAATGCCTTCCTGGAATTTAAATGACAGCAAGTTCACTACTTATCGATAAAACATGTTTAACTCTCGAACTGCAAGACTTTCTTTTAGGCAATTCTCTTCAAAGAGTGTGTGGATGAATCGGACTTCTCGGCAAGGTAGTGTTCAAGCATGTCTTCTTCATCATCTGCAATAAACCAATGTAATCAAAAACTTTCCTTCATTCATTTTGCCAACGAACCTATGAAACCATTTAATGAGTATTCTTGGCACTATCAAATGCCAATTACATGATTGCTTGCCAATGGTCTCACCTTCGAAATTATCATCATCAAAATCAATATCTTCCTCGTCTTCCTCCTCGGATTCTTCATTAACATGAGCTGCACCTTTCTGCAGAAGAGGAAGTCACCATGTTAAAGATGCAGTTTCATAATTGAATAGGGCATATTCCAATCATATCACCTATCATCTCACAAAATGCATTCAGTCTCCCTTGATTCATGATTGCTTTCAACATAGAATGGGGTCGATTAAACCAACTAAACCCCTTGGTCGAATTATGTTAAATAGACTAACATAAATTTATTGACTAGGATCATCAAGTCGTAGATTCGGGGGAAAGATATAACCAATTCACAGAATTAACAGTGGTTTCACAATTACATATTCTATTCTCAAATTTGTCAAAATACAGGTTAGAAAAGAATCATTAATCAACATATCGAAAATATATCATCCCAAACCCGACCTAATCATTTGAGATCATTAGCCAATTTCAAGGAAACAATGAGGGGTTTGTTCCTAAATTCCAACGAAATCCATGGTAACAAATTGGCAATGGTATAGATATAATGTCCACAATGATATAGAGGAAAAATAAGTTACCGCAGTAGCTCTTCCACTTTCAAACCACTGCCTGCCCGCGAGCCTCTTTTCTTTAGGTGCCGTAAGAGCAGATTCGGGCATTAGCCTGAAAATAGATGCATGGAAAGTTTATTTCTGACAGTTTAGTATATGCCTTCTATTTTTCATAGCATAGATACGTTGCTTCTCTTTTTCACAAAACATCATAATGAAGAGGCAGGTTAACCAGAAAAAACTACAAAAGCTGTCCATGCACTAAACTAGACGGGGAAAAGATAGAATGGGACCGTTTTCTGCATTCCAGGTCTGCATTCCAGGCTTTTTTGTTTTGACTACTTTTCTCAAGTATCCATATCAAACACCTCAAAGTGATGGTGGCTATGTGATGCAACTCTCCAAACATAAGGGAAAACTAGGCAAACTTTCTACATATGCACGTTGGCCATGTACAATGTCTGCCTTTGATATCTATCTTTGAGCAATGTAGGTTTTACGAATATTTAACAGACCAATTCATCTCTAACATCTAGGTGCTCATTGTGCTCTATTACCAGTAAGGTGAAGTTCACTTGGAAGGTAAAATCTCCGGGATTTTTGTTTTTGTACTTTCTCAAGGAATATCTCTATGATATGAACTGGGACCCATATAATGTGCTTCTACTTCTTATCCTGTGTCGACCAGCAAGGATAAACTTCATAAAATAATGATAACAAATTTGAAGAAGCTTTAGCATGTTTAGCACTACCAAACTTGCAGGTTTGATAACAAAAGCCTAATATAATCTGAGTGTGCATAGCCATATACGGCAGATGCACAGAAGGGCAAAGGCATTCAACAACCCAACTTACTTGGCTCGCTCCAGCGCCAACTCTGCCTCAAATCTTTCTCTCCATGCCAAAAATGTATCAACAGTAACAGGCTCTCCATGTGGAACAATCACCTGCAGGACGAAAAAGGTCAGATAGCTTCTATTACATAAAGACTGATATTCAGTATTAAGAAAAAACAAAGTGCTCTCACACTTCAATAATATTCTGATTTGTGATCATAATTAGCACAAAGTTTTATGTTGTTCCTCTTGCTTAGCAGACTTATCAATTAGCATTAACAGTTCCAAGCGAAGATCATGAATATTTCTAAAATAGCACAAACTAAGTCCCTAAAACTGTCTACAAACGCTTATATTATGTAAATACAAATAGTCCAAAACTCTGGTTGTAGAGCAAACCAGCATAGTATATCTTTGGAATCTTAGCACTTTCTTTCCTAAATTCACAGTCCTCAAAGCATAAACTGATCCTAAATTCACAGTCAATTTTCCAACATTCTAGCCGATGTTGGCTGAGATTCATTTGGCACACTGATAACATTGCACGCCAGGAGCTTTGAACCTCTTCTTTTCTAGTACCAAGCATATAAAATAACTCCATCTTTCATGCCTCTGATTAATTCTCAGATAAGAGACCCATTAATGACAAAAGTTTCCTGGAAACAAGCTATAATAGTTATGTGTCTGCAGCATAAATTTAAAATCTATCCTTCCTCTCAGGTAGGCATAACCAGAAAACACCCTGGCAACTATAGCAGGCATTGGAGCACCTTAGGCCAAAGACAATTATCACTCTATAGGTCTAAGCTGTTGTATTAAGGCATGCAAGTAATTCTTCTAAAGAACTAGGTATCCATGCGCATTAAATACAATCATTGCATGGCAGGTGGAAACTGTATACGAATGCCAAAAGAATTTGCTAAAAGATTACTAAAAAATAAAAGTTGATTTACTAAAAGCATCTAATAAACATCAGACTACAAGATTAGAGGAAATTTAAACGACATAGTACATGTCCAGACCTCATCTTTTGTTGATTCTTCTTCTTCAAGATCGTCAGCATCTGCATCTTGGCAATATTTTTCAGATAGCCATTCCTTGGCTGATGTAACCAAAGTGTAAATCATAGCCATTCCAAGATTTTCAGATGCCTGTAAAGTACAAAATCAAGTGAGAATCTGTACAACCTGGATAGCTTAAGCTGTATAACCATTTTACATATAAGAAAAAGATGCTAATTAGCATGCCAACTAAAAAGTAACACTTTTTACTGCAACCTTCCACTAGGAAGGGAGATTAATTTTTTTTCCATAAGTAGAAAGTATTACATTTTCAAGACAAATGCAGAGATACGAACTCACACAAAGTGGGACAACAAGAGAATCCTTGACCGCTCGGCCAATTAATGGATGTGAGACATAGTTCAATTAGCTAAAGATTTGGCAAATTTGATATTCTCAATCTAACACTTCCGATCAGGAGAATTTACATTTTTACCGTGTAGTGACAACTGACAAGAGCTGGGGAAAAAAACATGATGTTAACTCTACTAAGAGCAAAAATTGATCTCGTGGAAGAACAATTCCTGAAAGCTTTACCAAGCATAAATAGATAAACTCCAGACTCAAGTAATATGATAAAACATATATCCCTGATAGGTTACCTCTTGTTCAAGTTTCTCCTTCAAAATTTTCAGGTCACTGGTGTGCACTCCACGTATACTGGAAAAAGGAAATGAAAATATCAGGTTACTTAAAACAGCCCAAAAGGAAGAAGGAGATCATGAGGCGCAAAGATTTTCCAAACAAGACCCCAAACATTCAATATAAAATCCCATGAACTGATAAAGAAATAAGCAAGAAACTTGCACAAAATGGTAGTCTCCAACTTGCTTGAAAGATAAATGTTAAAAACACCAATTGTGTCACAAAGGATTAAGATTTTTCTAATGCTGGGTCGGGAAAATGGAATGGTGGGAGGATGGAATATTTTCAATCTGATGGCTAAGATTCATAATCTTCTATGTATGTTTATGGCAGAGCCATTTGATTAAAAGTTATTTCATCCTTCACATCAAGAAAAGGAAAATTAGATTCAAACAGGGAAAAATATTTGCTTCTCAGATGATTTGAGAAATCAGGGGACTGTGACAAATATCTTTCTAGATACTGTCATGCATATTGGTGTGTTGCACCGAAATGGCATACTAACCTTTTTACATTAAGAAGGGGAGACTCATCTGGATATTTTTCAGTATGCGAGAAAATCAAACCCAGAAGAACTGCAAAAGAAGAAACAGCTTATGTTCTCAAAGAAACAGACAATCATGTTAAACAAATTGAATCAAACTTGACGTTATAGATTTATTTGTTTGTCTGCCTATAAATGTGGCTGCACATTAATATGATATGCTACAATATGTTTGATTCATAAAAAGTATAACCTGGTGTTGTAGTCGACTGATCTGCATCATCATCCTGTCAAACACAAAACAAGCAAATTAGTTAAAGGAAAATTAGTTGCCAAATCATAAGAGTCGTGAAGAATTAATAATGATGTTCAAACAATAGCCAAAGTAAACCAAAGCCAAAAACTCTAAAACAATTAGATGAGCATTATTACTCCAAAAAACAACTCTACCTCTACTAGCACATGCATTGTAGGACCACACCATGAAAAATGAGAATCAATGGCTTATAAAGAAAGGCCAATAACATAATGAAAATGCAGAAACATTATTTCTGGGAGAAAACATACCTGAGGAGATAATGTTATTTGGAAGCACCTATTTGATGTGTTCAACCCACTCTCACCAGAATGAATTTCTGATACGAAAGCAATAATCATTAGAGGTCAGGAAGTTCTGGGAAATTTTAGCAGGGAGAAAAATGCAAGCCCAACAAAATAAGTGTGAAAGGATGGACCTTTGAATTCGTCCATAAGTATTGCTTCCAGGGCTTCGATTTCCATCTCCTGCTCCTGCACGTGATCTGTAAACATAATTCAGATAAATGAAATTATGGTGAATGAAGCACACCATGAACCTATCTCAAAACAGCATCACGTTCTTCCCTTAATTGATTAATTAAGGTTCAATCAATATAAGTAAATGTTAGGTTGATCACATTTCATTCCCTTGGTGTTTTCTTGGGAAGTAAAGTTGTCTTTTATGACTAGTGTAACTATATTTGATAGGTCTCTTACAACTTGATGGTTGATGGGCAATGCGTAAGGTTGAAGCACCAATCTGTGCCTGAGTTCCTTTCAAAGATTCTACTTTTACCAATTTTGCTTCACTGATACTAGCTTTGATTTTTTTTATTTCATAAAAAACATTATAAGGTAAATCTCATGATATTTTACAAAATCCGTATCTCCAAATCCTCCAGAATGATTAAAAAAAGAAAATAACATTCAACTTCAACCCCAAAAAAATCCCATTGCAGATGTTGGGTATCTCTGATTACCTAAAAAGCTAATTGACTTGCATTACTCTTTAAAGAAACAAAAGTAAATTGAATAATTGATAGCAGAAAACAGTTAAAAAGAAAAACAAATGAACACTAAAGAGAAAATAAAGGGAAAATAATGACCCAATTACTCCATTGAAGACACTTCAAGGGCGATCTTAAAAAACTTGATATGCAATTAAATAATAGAATTTGATCAGTAAAAATCAATTTTTTTAAAAAAGGAATTACCAGTCATGATTACGAAGTTAAGAAACCCTTTTATGCTTTTGTGATTTTTTGGATTTGATTCTGCTTTTCCTCTCGGAGATGAAGATGACCGAAGCTCACAGTTTCCATGGACTTGTATCCATAAAAACCTAATGGAAAAGCTCACTTAAAACGCACCGTTTGGATAGAATTCGAGAATATTTTTAGGGTAAATTATATTGGAGGTTATTTTTGTTTTTAATTATTTTTTATCACTATACATATATATATATATATATTAATAAAAATAATTTATTTTTATTTGATTTTTATTTTTATTTTTTAAAGAAAAAATCAGACTCTTCAAATAAAATTTAAAATATCTATCTCAATCTCTCTCTTTTTTTTCAATTTTTTTAATTTAAATTTTAAATTTATTTCGTCACCTTCAACTATCATATAATAATTTAGAATTTGCATGAACCAAATGGCTTATTAGTAAATGAATTATTGTTATGCTTTGAGGACCCGGGTTCAAACACCATATATACAAGGGGCGTTAATGTCCAGTGTCAAAAAATTGAGAGTTATCTTTGAACAGATAGTGTCTTGTACTTACTCTAAATCAATAAAAAATTACAATTTAGTAGAAAATTAAAAACATAAAATCTTTTTATTTAAAAAAAAAACTCTTAAAATCGATTCGAACTCTTTCATATTCACAATAAGAACTTTAAAATCGAAAAAAATTGAAAAAAATAGCTTTTTCTTTTTATTTTTCTCTGATAATATTAATTTTATTATATCCAATCCTTCACAAAAGTTTTAAAGAGTTTTTGATTAGTTTAACTACCTATAAAATTTAATAAAATACAATGAAAAGAAAAGTATTTATAAACTAAAATACACTGATATGAGTCTTAAAGACTTAATTTTAATATACTCGATTACTAATATGTGCGACACTTGAAAAAAGATGTTACTCAATTAAATCAACCTTAATTATCAATTTAATTAGGATCTTTCATACAACGAGTTGAGATCATAAGACATGATGGATGCCTACAATCAACCTTACATTCTACAAAGATAAAGAATATTATTTTTGAAAATACTGCATTGTGTTACGAAAAGAAATTCACCTACACCATCGATATAAGTCGTAAGGTAGGCCTTGATGATGTTTTAAGATACATATCTTTACTTGTAAAAAACTAATAATCTGTTGATTGTCTATTTCCTACGTATATACGTAAATAATCTGTTGATAGTTTAGGCGTCTTGAGGAGCTCAAAGCTAGAGGTTAAAGAAAATGTTGCAATCCAATTGAATGAGCTTGTGATATATAATAAACAACGATATTTCTGATTCTAACTGCTGCTTAAAGATCTTATTCTATGTGTTCATTTGACTGAATTCCATTTCGTTTTCGAATGTTATATGTTGTTTGTTTTTCATGCAAATGAGTTATGATGCCTTTAAATCCCTGTAAGAATGTGGGTATATGGGATGCTTGCGTCTATGTGAATGCATTGGTAGAGGGGTTGCCTTGTTGCTTTGATGTTTGAAGCTTAAACCTGTGTTAAATGACTGGTACTCAGACTTGGTAGTGCTTATCAATGACTCTCTAAGGATCTCCAAATTCATGGAAAAAATTTATAAAAAATCGAATATACTCGTACCGGATACATATGTCCCTATCCAACACTTGCACCTAAATCCGGGTCAAATACCAAACACTCTGGATGCTAATCCTAATAAAGGATCCAAAGCGCTAGGAGCAAACTTCCTAGCAAAAAGAAAACAAATAGTTGAAGGGTGGTCATTATAAAGAAGACATGTCTGACCTTCAAAGATTCTCTCAAAGAAAGCTCGAGTCATATCTTCCTTTCCAAATGTGGCTGGATGAGCACCACCCCTTAACCTGTCGGTCCATGTAAGGGTCAGGTTGGCTAAGAGATGAGGCACTTGGATGGTTAACATTGTGGTGAAATAGTGTTCATCCACATAACAAGCTGGCTGGCAAAACTCCTTGAACTTTGGATAGTATTTGGTGTCCTCAATTATGTTAACTGCAAGCCTCCTGTCAACTTCGAACCACTGAGACCCTTCGCGACATTGGCTCAGTTTGACCTCTGGTTCCACGCGTGAATTGTACCGGCTCCTCCTGTAAGGTATGGGATCGTCATATGATTCCATGAAGCCGTGTTTCGAACTCGATGTGTAGTGATAGATTACGCTGAAATTATACAGAGGGATGCAAGACTCCAACAAGAGAATGAACCATTCGTTGGAGATATCGAGCAACGCGTTCGCTAGGAGTCGCCTCTCGGCCTCACACATACTCATCTTTCCCCACTCCACCATCTGCATATTCAGACAACAACGTGCAATATCACCCAAATACCCATCAAAGAAAAAGAAGTTAATATAACTTGATTTGCTAATACCTGAGGATTTGTCTCCCACAGAAAGCAGAAGATGATGGATAGCCAGCAACGTAAGATGGCAATGCATGAACATATATAGAGTAATGCCTTTCATTCCCCTTGAAAAACTTGTTACAATGAGGCGCCAATGGCAATGGCCCTTTAGTGAAGAACATGAAGACAATCTTGGGGACTCTCCTAAAAGGATATTCTTCGATTTGAGGCACAAATGAAGCTCTCCAAAGTAGTTCATTGTCACTGATTGAATGCCACAGGTTTGATGGAGGCCTTATCCATCGTTCTATTGTATCAGTCTCGGCGAACCACGGGCGTAAATTGTTGGGACCGTCGGCGCACCCCATGGCGCAGTGGAAACAAAACTCGACGGTCTAACCAGCGATCCAAGTACGAAAAACTGAAATCGGGAGGAAGAGATGCAAATACTTACAGCGGGTTCCTTGAAAAATAGCAAGGACAGCAGTGAATACTGGTGGTGTAGATCAGTTCGAATCGTAAGCCTCCACGAAATCACATCTTGGCCTCTACTCAGTTCACTCGATTGAGAGCAATTTTGTTTTTCCCCAAAACTGTTTTGAGAGAAAATAGCTGAAGGTTTTTGTGTGTGTTCTCTAAAACGGCTGCTAGACCTAACTCACCCTTTTATAGCCAAGTTATCCTAATCATATTAGGGTTTTTATTATTTTAAATTAATTAAATCTATATTTAATTAATTAGAATTTAATAATTCTTTTATATCCAAGTTACCCTAATCATATTAGGGATTTTATTATTTCAAATTAATCAAATCTATATTTAATTAATTAAAATTAAATATTCGGGATTATTAAAACATATATTTAATTAACTCTATATATATTTTAGTATCGTACAACAAATTGTATATCTTTGCTCGTTTCAATCCTAGAGTATGACACTGTAGGTTCTTGTAACGTCAGAAGTAATTATTATAACAAATCTAATATTACATACAATGAGTGACATCTAGCAATATATCATTGTCACCTAAGTTACAAGAAAATATGATTCGACATATCATCTTGGTGATTAACTCTTTTATGTATTACATCCTTATGTCCTTTATATCTAGAATAGGCACAAGTCTTGGAATAGTCACACTTGTATAGCCCATCTATAGTTTCTTGATATCTAGAGTAGACTTTAATTAACGAATAGTTTATGATATCTCATATCAACTTATTCGAGCATGGCCATGCGTTTCTAATCTTACTCAATCAAGTGGCCTGTGATATTCCTATTATGTAGGAAGGACAAATCCTATCTTAAGCATACACACCCACTACATATATTGAGATATATTCAATAACAGTCTTTATAGAGCAACCAGTTATGGAGCTTGTTTAGTTGCATCAAAACATACAACAATATATGTTGGGATAGTATTGATCTTAAGTCTGAGGATCATATATATAGTCATCACCATGAGCAATGTTATGACTGTCACATAATAATCCAAGACATATGCTCATGGTGGGTCAATCCAATACATTGTTCTCTAACAATATAATCATGTATCAATTCTAATATATCTATGTCAATGACAACTCGTTGTCATCAATCAATAACATTTTAGTCTTAAGCGTATTATTATTATCCATGCCCATAATAATACTTGACTAGGGATCTTTTAATAATAACAATTATGCCATTATATGGACTTTATTATCTTCCAGTTTATGTTAAACACATATATATATAACTAAAAATAATAGCGGCAATTTATTCAATAAAATCGGTAAATAAAAATATTATTACAATCATCATATGATTGGTCTTTGGGCATACTCTAACATAAACTGGATGGTGCTACGGTGCCTGCTTGCTGGAAAACAAAGAATCGAACCGAATACATACAGATGATCGACAATCCGATCACCATGATAACAAACAAAATAGTAGGAGTCTCAAAGGCAATGTCCTAGAGATGTTTGTTCTTATTACAGAATCCTGGTCTTTACCTTCCTCCATTCCCAACAACCTCGATTGCATCTTATGGCTATGTTTTTTGCTCCATAAACCAAGCCAAGAAACACCCTTTCTTATGATGAAAGCATATGCAAACGCATCATATACATAAATGGATAGATCACTGATATAAATAAGCGACGTATGTAATTTGGGTATTTGAAAAAGAAATTAAAAAAAGGCAATAAAAAGTTAAACCTTGGATTTGGGAGAACAACTAGAATTCTTGTGTGTTTAGAATGCAGATCGTTCTGAGAAGATGTAATAAAAAATTTATGGTTAAGTCTCAATCTCTGAACCTATTCTCTCGTCGATCTCAACTGATTTCACATATAATATATTTGGAATTTCATATAAAATTGGGTCACATTTAAAAAATATAAAAAAAATGGTTGTCAAAGACAACATTATTTTAAGTAATAAAATTCAAGGTTGCTTTGTTTGGACCAACAAAACAAACTTTCCAAAATACTTGTCAAATCCCAATCTTTATTATTGGAATGTAATAAGAATAAACCTTACGGCAACGATGAGTGTTTGACAATCTTAAAATGGGACATTGTATATGTGGATTCAGCTATCCCAACTTGCATAGCTATGGTGTTGGGATGATAAGTTGTACTAAAAATCCACAAATATTACTATCCTTAATACAACATAGTAAAATGTATCTAATCATACCTCATATTTATTCAATCAAAACATTCTTATTATAAATTGAAATATTTAATACTTTCTTCGGATATCTTCT